ATTCAGAAAGGCCATATAACCTACCCCTGCTCTTAAAATTTTCATTTAATCAAATGCTATTGCTGTCATAATAGAATATGGTCACGTGGCCACTGGAAAACACGGTTACAGCAGCATTCTGTCCTGGATTAAGACCGCAACCTTGACCATCTCTCTCCAATCTTGGAACACACACTCACGCCAGAACAGTTCCGAGTCAGACTCAAATGGTCCCTTAGAGATAGAAACTTGAAATCTCATTTCCTGCTGTTTGACATCAATGATTCCTTTAAAAATGTGTGGGTTTTTACATCAACCAAACTAGGCAGTGAATTTCAGACATCCTCCACTCACTTTTCTTCATATCCACCCCCCCGCAATTCCTTCTATCAATCCCCTTAAATCTGTGGTCGCCAGTAACTGACCTCAAGACATATTACTGTTGCCAAAATCATTGCTTTGGTTTTTGAGTCTCTTTACCCAATATAGAGGTAGATTAATGGTTTGTGATGAATTGACTTTGCACAAAAGAACTCCTCACGAGGAAAGTTGTTTTTGTCATGTTTTGAAGTAGTAACACTAAATGGCCAATGAGATAGCTGTATTGATAAAGCCAATTTGCATAGCAATAGTAGAGACACCTGGTGGTGGTTTAACCTGAGGGCCACCACACATCAAGTGAAGGGAGAGACGAAGGACAGTCCTTTTATGGTAACCTCAGCCAGTGTGGGAATTGAACCCTCATCATTGGTGTCATTCTACATCTCAAACCAACCATCCAGCCAACTGAGCTAACCAGCCCTGAGCACTAGTTATTCCAAGACTGGAAATACAACCTTTAGGTTATCATAGCAACAAGCTTGGAAAGACTTCAGACAATTCAATAACTGTCCACCAATTTATCCTGAACTTAACCAGCATCAAGGTCCCCCTCCACTTCACGGATTCCAACCCCACCCCCTGTTGAATATTCACCATCCCTCCTAAACTTCTGTTCTCCAATGCTGAATGTTCTATACTCAAAAAAGGTCTCAGCTTCATACTTACGCACCCCCACCTTAACACATTTCAGGCATGATGTGCCAAACTCTCGTCCGCCTCCACTTCTTTGGGCAAGAGTCCTCTCCCCATTCCACAGACCCCATCTCCTAGTTCCAATGCTCTCCCTCCACCTGGGCCCCTCCTTCTGGCCTTTTACCGGAACAGATAGTGTGTATCGAGAACTGTTGACAGGACATTGGTTACCTCAATTTCTCTGTCCCACTCATCCAATCCGTGCGCTTAGATCCGACCTTAAACTTTGTTATTAAGCCTGCCAATAAGGCTGGCGCTGTTGTAGTCTGGCACACTGACCACATGGAGGACCAGCTCTCAGACCACCTCACATCTTCCCCCAGACTATGACCCTACTAAGGCACATCAGGCTAGTGTATCAACTACAGTAAGTGACCTCATTTCATCTGGTGATTTTGCCATCCCTCACTGCTTTCAAGCGGATAGTCCTCCAGCCCCGCACAGCTCGCTTCTACCCAATATTCCTCAAAACAGGATGGCCTGGGCAGACCCATTGTTTCAGCCTGTTCCTGCCCCAGCCCACAGAACTCATCTCTTCCTACCCTGACTCAGTCTTTTCTCCCCTGGTCCAGTCCCTGTCCACATACATCCATGATTCTTCTGATACTTTATGCCAGTTTAGAATTTCTAGTTTGCAGGCTCCAGCCACCTCCTCTTTACCATGGAGGTGCAATCTCTTTACACATCCATTCCCCACCAGGACAGTCTCGGGCTCTCCGCTTCTTCTTGGAAGAAAGAAGGACCTGAACCGTCCCCATCCTCTGCTTAATTGAGCACAACCTCACTCTTAACTTCTCCAGGACAGAGGGGTGGCCGTGGGCCCCCAGTTATGCCTGTGTCTTTGTGGGGTACATGGGGCATTCCTTGTTCCAGTCCTATTCCAGCCCCCACCCACAACTCTTTCTCCAATATATTGAAATAGTCAGTGCACCATTCCCCCCTCACCCTTGTCCAGAATTGGGGAAGTTCATTGATTTTGCTTCCAATTTTCATCCTGCCCTCACTTTCACCTGGTCTATCTGACTCCTGCCTTCCCTTACTAGTCAGCCGTTTCCATTTCCGAGGATGGACTGGCCGCTAACAAACTCACTGACTCCCACAGCTACGGACTATACATCCTCAAACCCTGCTTCTTATAAAGACTCCTTTCCATTCTCTCAGTTCCTCCGTCTCTGTTGCATATGTTCAGATCAGGCTAACTTCAACAAAGGGAGCCTCCGAAACATCCACCACCTTCCTCTCCCGAGGACTCCCCAGCACCATTGTCGACAGGGCCCTCAACCTAGGTACAACTCATCTCCTGCACTTCTGCCCTCACCCCTTCTCTTCCCTCCTCCAACAGCAATAGGGTTCCTTGTCCTTACCTACCAACTCACCAGCATCCACATCCAGAAGATCAGACACTATTTCCACACCTCGAGATGCCACCACCAGACATTCCCTTCCCCTCCCTTTTCCACCTTCCACCCTGATCCACACTTCCTTCACTTGCAACACAACACAGCCCCATGGCACCTTCCCCTGTAACTGGCAAATGTGTAACACCTACCCATTTACCTTCTCCCTCCCCAGTATCCAAGGGCCCAAACACACCCTCCAGGTGAAGCAGCTCTTGACCTGCATTTCTCAGTCTGCCATTACCTACAGTCTAGTCTGCTGTATTCACTGTCCACAATGTGGTCTCCTCCATATTGGGGAAATGAAGCGTAGACTGGGTGACTGCATATCCACATCCACATGTCTCGGAACTGTTCTGGTGTGAGAGTGTGCATTCCAAGATTGGAGAGAGATGGTGAATATCCACATCTGCCCGACCAAACAGAAACAGGGAAAGGTGCAAAAAAAAAAAGAGACCTGACCTTCCAGCTGCCTGTCCTGTTCCCTGGCCGATTTGTCTCCGACTCACTGCAGTATTTCAGCAAAGCTTAATGCAAGCTAGAAGAACAGCATCTCATTTTCTGCTTGGGGAGCCTGCAGCTCTCTGGACTCAAACAGTTCAATAATTTTAGGGCCTGAGCTCTCCTATGTCCTAGCCCCCTACTCCACACACCAGGTCTTGTTATTCACCCTCCTAGCCAGATCGTTATCAACTCTTGTCTGTCCAACTGTTCTCGCTCTTTGGGCTCTATTCCCACCTATCGTTTACTCCTTACCCTCTCCCCCTACCCTATCTTCTGCATAAAACCAAAATTTTCCTAGCTACCATTGGTCTGAGAAAAAGGTCACCAGACCAGAAACGTTAACTCCGATTTTTCTTCGGACGCTGCCAGACCTGCTGAGCTTTTCCAGCAATTTCTGTTTTTGTTCCTGATTTACAGCATCTGCAGTTCCTTGGGATTTTATTGAAGGGCCATTTCTTGGCCATGGCACAAAAATCTTTCTAGTGTAAAGATGAGGTGATAGTGAACCCAATGCCAATATTTTACTAAGAGCACTAAGAATTGAGTGATAATCCTATTAATATATGCCCCAGTAATAGAGGATCTTAATCCCTACAGCAATGCACATGATTTCTACTGACAACTTCAGAATGAATTCCAGTTAGCCTTCAGCTCAACTTGATCGTACATATGATGCAGAGGTGCTGGTGTTAGACTGGCGTGGACCTGATGAAGGAGGACTAGTGCTGAAAAAGCTTGGTGATTTCAAATAAACTTGGACTAACTTGGTGTCGCGCAACATCTGACTTGGATCATACATATGCCAAGATAAACAAAATGATATCCGTTCCTACATTTAAGTTTCTAACTCTTTCAACAGCACCCTCCGAACACATGCCCTCTGTCACTGAGAAAGTGAAGGGAAGCAAATCCCTGCCAGTTCTTGTGCAAGCCCTACACTAACTGACTCAGACAAATCAAAATGCCTGCAGTGCAGAGGCCATTCAGTCCACAACAACTCTCTGAACAGCATCCCACCAGACCCAGCCCACTACCCTATCCCTGTCTCCCTGCATATCCCAATGCCAATTCACCTAACCTGCACATCTTTGGACTGAGGGAGGAAACCGGAGCACCTGGTGAAAATCCACACAGACACGGGGTTTGGGGGGGAAAACATGCAAACCACACACACACACACACGAACCTAGGTCCCTGATGCTGTGAGGCAGTAGTGCTAACTATCCTTTCAGTGTCAGCGTCATTGTGTTGAAATCCTGGAATGCCCTCCCTAACAGCACTTGAGGTGTATCTGCTCCTTCAAACAGCAGCATTTCAAGGCAGTTCTCTGCCACCTTCTCAAAAGGCAATTCAGATTGGGCTACCAATGCTGGCCTGGTCAGCAATGCTCACTTCTGAACAAAGAATACTTGATCTATCACTGTGCTGGACAAGAAAAGTGATGCCAGAGTTGGTTCAAAAAAAGTTACATGACCCTTCCCACTGCAAGTTAGTGCTCTGCCACAAACCGAAGCCTGTAAAACATCATACGTACTCATCCTTCACTTCAGGAAGCAAAGCTACAACAGGTGCAGTATTGGAGATGTGTCTGCGATGCTTTTCTTTTGAGCAATTTTGACATTTTTGTTGAATAGCATTGATCACGTTTCTGAAGAACAAAGTCCTATTACAGGAAATTAAATTCTGAATTCATACCTTTTGCCTAGAACTCCCACCTGCACTATTTTTGAACGAAGTGCATGGAAACTGTCGTCAGCAAGATCACAAGCCATTCAAGACCTATCAGGTCTACAAATCTTTCGTCAGGTCACTTCATAAAAACTAATAGTCCAAACAGCAGCATCTCTCCCAGGTCTCATTTGGCCTGCCCATGAACTTCACTTCACTTTCACTGCCAAACTGACAGGAGTAGAGCCACAGTGAATAATGCAGCAAACATGAAGAAAGTCAAACATTAGGTCTTGCCTAGCTTTTAGGCAAAAGTACACTGCTTTGAACCAGTTAAAAACCCTTTCATATCAGTACACATTAGAATGACCTACTTACCCCTTCACATAGATATCACTCATCTCTTCTCCAGTAATGCTCGTTTCATCCAGAATAACATCACTGGTATTCCAGATTACACAGCGGAGGAAATATCTGCATGAACCACATGAAACGCTGAATTTTGTATTGAAACCAGACCAGCACAATTTCCCAACTAACTATTTAAGATTTGTTTAAAAAGGATTTGGGAACCTGGTTTAAAAAATATATACTTTTCTGAAATCTTAGGAATTACTACGTGATATTACCCAGTCAATACTTAACATTCTTCTAACTAATCAGAGACATGCATTAGTCCACTTAAAACATCTAGGTATTAATACCTCAGTAGCAAAGCAGAATTTGACATTTGGTGTCCATATAATAACACTGCAGCAATTAATTTCAATTGTCAGGTTTTACTGCAACATTTTCTCCAAGGCTCTCACACAGCCAGAAAGGCAATGGAGGAGAAGACAACGCAGTCAGTCAAAGCCGAGATCATTCCAGACTTGGTATTCACATTGGTAGAAAAATGGCAGTTATAATTGCATGGCAGCATTGGCACATTTCCCATCTCTAGCATAAAGTTTCCTGCAATCCAAGTCTGTCAGAACCAACTCTGACTAGGACTGGGTTTTCATGCAGGGCTGGAGGAAACTCAAGTCAGGTGCCTTTGGTAGTTTTTGGAACACAAGCTGCGGCTGTCTCACTGCAATGTGAAAAAGGTGCTCAAAGTTGATAGCTAAAAAAGGGAGAAACATTTGGCTGTACTTCAGGAGCAGGTTCTGCCTCAGATCTTCTGGCCATACAACTAGTTGGCAGCTCTGTAGGCCCAACAGTGTCAGGCACGATCATGGTCACTGCAGGGACTTGGGCAGCCCCAAAAAGGAATAAAAACACTTCAGTAAGCCCAGGGTATTGCCTAGAGCAGGCAGGCCCTGGTGAGATGGGCAAGGTGGCTAGAGGTTATGGGGAGGGGTAAATGGAGAACTATGACATTTCCTTTGTGTTAAGGGGCTACCCTCCATTAGGCTCAGTACCTTGACACCACCCCCTCCCTTCCTCCACACAGTTAAAGCTGCTGTGTTTCTTGACTGGAATAGGCCTACCCCTGCTGTGGCTTAAGTGGTCCATTGATTGGCAAATGGGCATCAAAAACATGCCCAAGAGTATGGGCCACTCCTATCCCTACCATGCATTAGCCATTTTCCCCCATTCTTAGGGTGGGGCCAGCAGAGCAGGCCATGCAAAATTTTTTTTCTTTCTGTTTGGATTGTTTTTATGTACTGTGTTTTGCGTGTCCCTTGGTCTAACAAGCCTTTGAGAGTCGGAAGGTGCGTAGGTTGTTCCAAAAACTGGATGGTGTGTAGGTCATCCCGAAAGCTGCCATCCTGAGAGTTGGAAGGTGGGTAGGTCACCTTCTCACGTTGCCAATAGAAAATGCAATTCTAAAAAAATCCACACCCCACCCAAAACAGACAGTGCAGAAATAGAGGCTAAATTTCTGGGGGAAAATAAAAAAACCCAGCTTTTGTCAGTCAAAAGATTTCACTGGCTGACAAACAATAGACAGACTTCACATGGATTTAAAATGGACTTAATTGAAACTGATAGTTAACTTACTTTTTGGGTTTTCGGGGATTGATGTCGAATGGTGGTCCAGGGGGACCTAGACTCATTGGATAGATATCAACCCACATCTGAAGCTTTCCCTAATAAAAAAACCAAGAGACACATTTAGAGTCATACAATTATACAGCACAGAAACAGACCCTTCAGTCCACTCATCCACACCAACCAGATATCTTAAAACTGATCTAGTCCCACTTGCCAGTATTAGCAAACCCTTCCTATTCTTATATCCATCCAGATGCCTTTTAAATGTTCAATCCTACCCGATTCCACTTCCTCCTCTGGCAGCTCATTCCACACACGTACCACCCTCTGCATGAAAATGTTGCCCCTCAGGTCCCTTTTAAATCTTTCCCCTCAACTTAAACCTATGCCCTCTAGTTTTGGACTCCCCACCTTGGGGGAAGAGGCCTTGGCTATTGACCCTATCTACACCCCTCAAATTTTATAAACTTGTAAGGTCACCCCGCAATCTGCTCCAGGGAAAATAGCCCCAGCCTATTCAGCCTCTCCCTACAGCTCAAACTCTCCAAACCTGGCAACAGCCTTGTAAACTCTTCTGAACCCTTTCAGGTTTAACATTCTTGCTACAGCAGGGAGACCAGAATTGAACACAGGCCACTTTTCGAATCCTAACCAATGTCCTGAACAACTACAACATGACCTCCAAACTCAATGCACGGACCAATGAAGGCAAGCATGCCAACCTCTTCTTCACTACCTGTCTACCAGTGACTCCACTTTCAAGTAACTATGCACCTGCACCCCAAGGTCCCTTCATTTATGACAAACATTACATGCAGCCTCTTACGAAAGAGAGCTAACTATTCAGATTAGCACTTTAGTATTAAATTGAACAATTGAATACCAGCTGCTTCTTTTTTGTAAAAAGTTAGACTCAGGTCAGAATTTATACCACAAACAACAAAAATTGTTTACAGCATCCAGTTGAGCATCTTAAATTCTCTGTCCAATTATTGGAAGTATCTTGCCCTTGAATGTTCGAGTATTTGTGTCATGAGTAACATTGGTAAACTGGAATTTCACCCTGAAATATTCCATCAAGGAAATCAAGACTAACCATGCACCATAGCACTTGAACCACATACATACCAAGCCACTTCTTGGTTATGCATTCCCTTCCATGAAGGGCATTTGTTGGGTGACTTTCAATAATGCTAAATTACCAAGGTTATTCAACACCAAAATCCTACTATGGCAAGTTATGAATTACACCCAAATTTTAGATTACTAATCTGGTACTATAACTGGATAATGTACCCTGTGCTCCCTTTATCTGCAGTTATTTAGCAAACTGGCACTCCAGATTTTAATTAATCATCTAGTTAGTATTCTTATTCACCTTCCAAGACTAAAAAAAGAGTGTCGAGGTCGTGAACTATTAGCTCAAATTTTGGTCCACATATAAGCTACACATTAGCTCTTAGCTTCAGATTTCAGGGACTGAAGCCTTCCACGTGACAGAAGAGAACACAAGGCTTGAGGTACAACTGGACTAAAGAACAGATTGGTTTCAGCATGTCAACCTCGGATTTGGGAGTAGATAAATTTGTTAACTTCTTTCATTGCTGTTCTGCTCCATTGAGTTGGTTATTGTCACTTCCAGTTGAATTTCTAGGCTCTAATCTCTCGTCAGTTCCACACCAGTTCTCATCTAAAGTTAAGTACTGTTCCCTTACAAACATCACCTACAAGCAATGGCACAAATTTACCTCCGCACTTAATGGCTTGGATGAGCAAGAACTTCGAAAATTTCTGCACCCTTGGCTATAAATCTCTTTCTCCCCATTCCAGCCATAAATGTAGCAGACATTAAACCTCTCCTTCACACAAAAGGTAGCATATTTTTAACAATACAAATTTTGCCCCCTCACTTTTTGTTATAATCAAATTTTATATTTATACAAATTTTACAATAAAGCTCAATGACACCTCTTCACTGGCTTCCCAAGAATCTCACTCCTACAATGCTTCATCTTGTAGATGTGCCAATATTCACATTCTTGCCCTTGCATTGTACGTGTTGGTTTTGAACTATGACTGCCATTAATTAAATTTCAAAATTCTTGTTTGTCAAATGACTTCAAATCTCTCACTATACACTAACCTTGTTCATCTTTCCTAACTGTCAATAGCACCAGCACACTAATGGTTCTCATTTAGCAGCAGCGATTTCAATTAGCTCAGCCCACCTTCTGGAAATTCATTGTTAAAACCCCTCACCCACTCACTTTGCTGTACATTTAAAGTCTTCCTCAATCCCAAGGAACCAAGCAAGTTAAGGACAGCATCACGTTGAAAAGAAAAAAAAAAGGTAAAAAAGTCTGATAGTTTTAGTGACCAGGATAAATTCAGACTCCATAGTTATTTTATCTTTTCTTAGTCTTCCTATAAAGGCCAACTAGTGAGGAATATAAAAACTGAAAATAAGTGATTTAAATGTAAAGAAAGGAAGAGAGAAGTCAAAGTGAACATAAGCCCTTAGAGAATTAATCTGGGGAGAAGGTTATGGGAAAACCAAGGAAGTGGTGGAAGAGTCAAACATGCATTTTCCAATGGTGTTTGTGGTGGAAGATACTTTGAACATCTTATTAATACTAAATAGGTAATTAGGTACCACCCCCATCACTAGGGAAATATTTTGTAGACAACCTAACTGAGCTAAGGGCAGGCAAGTGCATTGGCTCTGATGGCTTGCATCCTGGTTTCCTAAAAAGTTGAAGCTACAGAGATAGTGAATTCATTGCTGTAATTTTCCAGATGTCCTTGGATGCTGGAGAAGTACCAGAGAACTGAAAAACTGCTAGTTTGACACCGCTATGCAAAAAAGGCAGAAAAGCAAAACCAAACATGTGGTTAACTTTTGGCCAATTAGACCAGCATTTATTGCTGGAAAAAGAAATCAATTAAGGAAGTAATAGCAGCACATTTAGGAAAATCAAATCAGCAGAGTCAGCACAGCTTCAAGGGAACTCATGCCTGCCTAACTTATTAAAAAGTCTCAGCCAGTTGATAAGAGGGGAACCAGTGGGTGCATTGTATTTGGACTTTCCAAAAAAAGTCTTCAAAGTTCCACGCAAAAGGTTAAGTCATTAGCTAAGAGGACACTGTATTGGTAGTAGTATATCGGCGTGAAAAGAGAATTGGCTCAAGGTGGGCTGGGGGAGCTTCTGTTCTCATTTGAGAGTCTTAAACACCTGCTTGATGCATACCTCAGACAAAGCATCTTAGAATTTTTTTTCACTGAAAATGCTGCATACAATTCTGGTTGCAATTGTACCTGCTTCCTTCCAAGTACACAGTTCAATGCAGATAAATGCTAAGTTTTACATTTGCCTCAGACAATATTTTCTTTCAGCAGATCCAAGTTTGGTAGTTTCTTGAATGTCTGGCATTGATTGCTCATCTTAAGTCTGTCAAATGTGACAGTTTAAAACCTGCAACTTGTTTCTCACTGATCTGAATTACCAACAGGACCAACTTGAACACACAAAGGAGTCAATTTGCCACGTGTCCAAAGTTGACTATTTAGCAGAAATGTACACTGGGTCAGTGCCTTTAGCTGCTGTGTGTCTTGGCTCTTGTCAACTATTACCAGTAGCAATTGAAAGCAAAATGTTCTAGAATTCATATGTTAACTTCTGTGGAAAGTTAAACACTCATGACTCAGCAAGATCAGCAGAAACATGAAAAAACTGAAGCATTCCCCATATCTCCTTGTGGGGGTAATTCAGTCTTACTCACTGGAGGTCAGGCAATAAACAGTTGGACATAAAAGTTCTATTCGATTCAGTGTTGCGCACGTTGCATTGATACCAGCAATGTCTAGACAACAAGCTTGACTCAAAGTATCTCAAGATAATGTAAATAAAAAAGGGCAGAAATCAATAATGCTCACAGGCATTGTAGGGGATAGACCATTGACAATTAAGCACCTAATACTGCAGAACTGCACAGGACCAGCAAAACCAAATTCATTTAAATGTGATCAATTGCAGAGCAAATCCACAGCAAATAATCAGGTTTGATATCAGGTTCGAAATGTATTCCTGTTGCTTTGCTGGATTTGAGCAATTCAAATTCAGCAGCTTCAAATGAAATTAGATCCAGATCAAAGTTCAATTTAGATTAATCCAAAATTGAGTTATTTATGTGAATTGCGGTTTTCAGCCAGTTCTTCTGACTAAATATTTTTGTAACCATTGGATATTCAAAACACAGCTTACTATTTAAACATTTACTTTGCCATAAATTGGAATTGTTCTTCTTAAGCCAAAGCCTCAAAATATAGTTCAGCCTAAATTCAAGCTTCTCACACTGTTTACAACCTGAACCAACATAGGCATCCCTGTCATCTGATCCCATACTCCAAGCTTAGGATCGAGAGAGGACATTCGGGCCATCGAGCCTGTTCTGCCATTTAAATTTGATCATGGCCAATCAACCACCTCAATACCTTTACCCAAACTATCCCACAACCCTTTACACCCTCAAGTGACCAAAATTCTCTCTCAAATACTGGAGTTTCCATAGCCCCGAGGTAGTAATTCTTTAGAATTCTCTACTGCCAGAGATTTAAGAAAAAAAACCAAATTTCAGTTCTAAGTGGCATTCTGGTTATTTTTAAAGGGAGTCCCTTAGTTCTGGACTCCCCAGTCTGTCAATCCCTTTAAGCTTTTTGTAGTTTTCAATGAGTCAAATCAAAACACTAACAAATAAAGGCCCAGTTTGCCCAATCTCTTCTTAGGACAGTCCCATTATCCTGGGAACAAGTCTGATAAAGCTTCATTACATTCCTTCAGTGGCAATATCATCTTTCCCCACAAGAAAGCAAACCTGCACACTCTAGACTACACCTGGAATAGCTCCTATACTACTGAACCAAGGGTTTAGTACTCCTATCTTGAGATAAAGGCTCACATTCCATTAGCATCCTGACAGCTTGCTGTACCTGCATGTTAGCCTTCAGTGACATATTAACAAGGACAAGGACATCTAGGTCTTGTGGTATATGGAGGCTTTCTAACCTCTTGCCATTCAAGAAAGTCTGCCCATTGGT